CCTGAAGCCACTATTCCTGTCACGAGGCCTTTCTTGGAGGAAAAACACGGTGAAAGGAATTGGACTTTTATTGCGAGACTTTCCTTTTAAATACGCAAACTAAATATTATATCATATATAAGTTTCGAAGTGTATTATATGAACTATATGGGGTGTAGTCATCAGTCGCAAAGTTCGGTATTTGTGGCAAAATTACCATCTCTGCTATTCCATTATACCACTTTGATCTTTGTTCTACCAACACAGTAGCATTATCTTAGATTTACTTTTCAAACACCACCACTATCGTTATTCCTTTATCTATAGAGTACAGTCATATTAGTTCTCCACCTACAGGATAAACATATTTAACCTTTTTATACAGTACCAACATAGTTGATATTCCTATATCGCACCATTATCTTTGCTTTCCTTGCTTCAAGGCGTTGTAACTTTCCAGTCGTTAGGTACGTCGTTTTTTATTATTTTGGAAAATATAATTTCAAGTCCATTCCATGTAACGATAAAGCTGGTTGTTTTTATTATATTTTGCTTCTTCCTTTTCACAGTGTTTACATTCTTTATTCACATACAGTCGTCGAGATAAATCATCAGTATTTCCAAGGTTCCGTTCAGGATGATGTGAAAGTTAGTTAAACTCTTTGAAGATTACCTAGCTTTTTGAAATGCGATAATCTGCAAACCAATTCAATGCCACATGATCTGGCTGAAGTGCGAACGTTTGTCTATACAACTGCTAATGATAATGACTTATATATCATAAAAAATGTAGTAGATTTTTCCAAGACATACAACATCTTTATGCAACCATCCATTGCCACGGTATAGTAGATAATCACATATTATTTGTGGTAAAACTGTTATCTTTTCATTCTCTTGTTTATTTATGCGATCAGCACTCCAACGAATTTTGTTAAGTTTTTGAAATAATTGATATAGAGGATGAGCTATGCTAGAGAATGGTTTTAGTAACAACATTGTCCAAGGAACACTCTTAGCTCACCGTACTTCTTTGGTGTTAGCCAATAATGAATAGGTTCAATCTAAGATGGATCTTTGGGCACTCCCTTTCTTCTGACAATATGTTCTGGCAAACTCGTTTATTGATAGAACAATTCACACTTATCCAGAACTTTCATAAACATTATCAAGTGTTTCCCATGTATGAATATATTATCCAAGTTGATGAGTACGGTGTTCCATTTCCTCTCAACTGACAATTTGTCCCTGGAAACTCATATATTGACAGAAAAGTTCATACTTCTTGGAATTTAGCTTAATGTTCTATTTACTCAGTCAATAGAAAACGTTCATAAACATTATCAAAGGTCTTCCCACATTTGATTATATTATCCAAGTAGATGAGTACGATGTTCATGGATATATTGGAGAGACCACATTCAGTTAGTCGACAAGATGTACCAGACACATTACTTATTCTAAATGGTAACACAACAAATTGCCACAATCCATTATTTCACAGTAATGGCTATTTTCTCTCTACTTGCTTCGTCGATTTGCATTTTCCAATACCCATTCTTATGATCCAATGTTGAAAACCATTTTCATACAGGTAGAACATTCAAAATAGAATAAATCCCTGACAGCGGGTAGACATCCTTCCTTCTGACTTCATTTACCTCCTGGTAGTCAATTCAAAACCCTGAGGATCAAATTTTTTTTTCTACTTCTCCACAAGTACAATAAATGAATCACAGGAAATAGCACTTAGTTCTATTACTTCTGTCATAAATGTTGGGCTACATTTCCAGTATCAATCTTATGAGATATTTATTTGTTTGGCCTAAGTCATAAAATCTGCTGGAGAAGGTATCTTGATATTCTATGAGCAAGTCATGTGATATCTGGCATTTATCAACTAGAATACCTCTACAGCTCTGGTCATATGACTCTTATAAGTAAGGTGGTAAGCTATGATTTGCACATCAGAATTCCTATATTTTGCCTCAAAGATAACTACACTAAATATTCTAAAACATCATCACTATTGTTGTTCCTTTATCTATAAAGTACAGTCATATTTGTTCTCCACTTACAGCATCGACATCTTTAATCTTGTTATACAGTACCAATATATTTCTTTTCCTTGCGTGAAGGTGTTGTAACTTCTTCAGTCCTTGGATATGTATAGTTTCATATGTTTCAATGTTCCATCTGAATGGGTTCGAAATTTATTGTTTCTTGTATTCGTGACCCAAATTATGACATTTATATTTTTGGGTCCACGGGAACTCATTCAACCACCTCAGGACAAACTATAGAGTTCAGGTCTATCTGCTAGGCCTACCGTGACTATTATCAGAGCCTTGTTAGTCACTTCACTTTCAGGGTTCTTGATAGGCCTTCATGATTAGCGAAACAGACATCAGACCAAAAAATTCCTCACCATACTTTACCTTATCAGGTTAAATTCCCTACTCCGAATAACTTTCCTCTCTTGCATCGTGATGCCATCTTGAAAGTTGAAGTTTACTCGAATGTCTATTATATTTTCATTAAAATAATCCCATAGCTTGTTTGTTTGTTTGTAATTATGCTCAAAGCTACACAATGGGCTATCTGTGCTCTTCCTACCACGGGTATCGAAACCCGGTTTCTAGCGTAGTAAGTCTGCAGACATACCGCTGTGCCACTGGTGGGCAATCCAATAGCTACCACCTTTGTTGTTAAATGTTCTCTAATTTGGCGGGTTCTTTTGTATTATTTGTTAAGATAATGCCAATTTCAAACCATGTAATGATAACAATTAATATATTTCTTCAACAAACTTTACTACAGCTATGTTTGTAATGGTCTAAAATGAAAACGCCGCTACAATCAGGGTTGAACAACAAAAACATAATTTATTCACAATAACAATACTTAGAAGTAAATTCAACACAGTTAATAAACAAATGCCTAGCCAGGACTTCACACCAATATTAAGAAACAATTTATTTTATATATTAATAAATGAGTAATAATGAAATCAGAAAATTAACCAGAAAGAAAAAACCTAATTCTCCCCCCAAAATAATAATACAGCACAGACAATATTCAAAAAATACATTTTAATATCAATAACTATCTTGTGACTCTCTGTTAGTGAAGCTTCTGGAATGATATTTATTCACTGAGTAGGTCACGAGTGTATAATCTCATGTAATCATAAATTTACATACTATTCTGCTACATTTATAGCATATGTACGTTACCGCTAGGGAAGCTAGTGTCAGTTTCGTCATACACACACATATATTTATTCAAAATACAAATGATTATGTAGAAGGTGATTTAGCGTTTTAATGCAACTAAAAATTCATAGATAAACGATTGAAGGAAATAATGAATGAACGATTAACACAACCATAATCACAAAAAAGTAGAATTTGCTATCTCACATGTTCACTTTAGGCTTAATTTCAATTACACAAACTTTTCAACATAAGTTCCAAAACGATGTATGCCTAACTTATTTATAAACGTACTTATAGAATTTCACGTCTAAATGATCGAGTAATTGAACAGCAAAATAAACACAATAACTTTCAATTCTATCAGTGAATAATTTTCTAACTCTGAACTCAATCATCGCCGATTATTTTTCCAGATACTCCACGAAGCTTCTCGATTGTTAACTTTCACAACCTTAACGTTATGCGTCCTCTAGCAAATGTCAAATTTAAAAAGAATATGAAACTATAGCCTGCAATAAAACATTTGCTAAATAGCTTAGGACTATAAGCACAAAAAATGCGTATATCTAGTCCAAAAACGTGGATCTTCATTAAACTTTCTTATTTTCTCCGTTCTTCGCGAAAGGTTTTTGATCCGTAGTTTTTCTATTGCTCTCAGAAACAGAGATTACAAATTATTAGTTTGAGATTAAGTTTTTCAGGTGGACCGCATTTGACAACAAATGTTAATTGTATTAGATTATATTTACATACACCTACACTAACGCTGTAACTGACTAAAACAATCAGCCGATACAACCAAGGTCGAAAAAAAAAACG